AATCCCACCTAAAACTATGAGATTTGGATTCTTATATTTTTAACTAAGAAAATTCTCTAAAATCCTCTGAAATCCTCTGAAATCATTTAAAATCAAATCCACAAAATGTTTTCAATAACAATGGATTTTAGAGTGAATTTTAAAATGATTATTTCAATAACACTGGATTTCATGAGACTTTTTAAAATCCCTGATTGAATAACACAAGATTTGTAAACTTTTTACAAATCACTTGAAATTCTACTTTGAATACACCCCCCTTAGATTTTGAAACTATTACAATTTACAAACGAATTTTGTATAGTATATCTAACCCACAATAAAAGATTTGAATAATTTAATTACACTTTGACCCAAAAAAAAAGATTTCAAACACTTAAATTAAAGATTACTTTCCAAACTAATTTAAGATATCCCATACTAAAATACTAAAGATTACCTTCCTAAATTAATTGATATGTTGACCAAGAAAGGATTAAGTAATTTATGTCATATATGTTACCAAAACTTTTTGTTGACCACGTTTGTATATATCTACGTTTTTTTGTTTTGGAACAGGTGTATATATATATACATTGAGGAACACATAATGTGTATTCATCCATTGAAACGAGGAAGGAGGAACAAGAGTGAAAAAGATAGTAAAATTAGCATAAATAAGAGTGACAAATACAAAATCCACACCAAAAGAATCATGAGATCTGTTGCTTTGTTGTTGGTTTCTCTTGTTCTTGTGTCTTTCATTTTGGGACATGTCAAAGGTATAATCCAAAAACCCCTAATCTTTTGTCAACTACAATATATTTTTTTTTTCAAAAGCAAAGGGTTTCTATGCCATGGTGTTTTAGTCCTTCTCAATAATTAAGATCTGATTTATGTTGTTGTTGATATATAAAAAATTAACAGAAGTGGAAGCTCAGAAGGATATATTCTTGGGAGGATGCGGGAAGGACGGAAACAAAACATGCATAGACGACTTTGTTAAGAAAGGAGCCATGAAGCCTAAGAGTTGCGAGTGTGATGACTTCGGCGACGAACATTTATGTCGATGTACTATGTAATGTTCCTTGCTAGGTTTTATTTTTGAATTTGTTGTAGTCCTTCAAATATAATTTACTATGAATAATCTAATACATAATAAGGAAACCGGTTTTATTATGATATGAAATTCTGAATCTTTTTCAATGTTGGAAAAATCATAAAGAACATAGACTTGGATTACTTAAAAATTTTGTTTTCCTTAGGACTCTCTGCATCCACTTCATAGTCACTTCTTAGATTATAACATCAGAAATTATATAAACATTGTTACGATATTTGTTTCAGAATGAATATAAAAATTAGGTTCCAAAAAAATAATTAAAGATGCACATTAATTTTGATTTATACGTTTAAGAACGTTTATGTTTTGTCATTAAATGTATATGTCCTACCATCCTGGTAGTGTAAACTAGTATCTCATAAGATCTCTAAGTTCAACTAAATTTATTAATACGTTAGTTAGGTAGAATCAAGATTAAAATAGAAAATATTTTTTAGCTGGCCTAATTTTGACTTAAATCACCAACCACCATCGATCTCGAGATATGCTTATGCGGTTCTGCCAATAATTTCATTTTCTTACGACTAATGTGGAAAAATAAAATACTACTACAAGACAAAGTATACATAGGCCGTTACAAGCTTTTATCGATTATGGCATTAGATTAGAGGAGACTAGCTCAATTATATAAACAGTTCACTAAAAAATGATTTATTATAAAATAATGGTTTAGATGAAAAACTATTGTACGCAATCGTCTTGCATGGAGGCACGTATAAAGATAAGATTAGAAGAACAAGTGGCTCTCTCTCTTTCTCACTTTCTTTTTACATAACCACTCCAAAAATAAGTTCAAGGATCAATCATTCACCAGTCACCACCATGGAGAAGACAACATCATTCTCCATCCACGAAGGAAAGCCAATTCGATGCAAAGCAGCCATATCTAGAAAACCAGGAGAAGCATTGGTGATTGAAGAGATCCACGTTGATCCACCTCAAGCTTTCGAAGTTAGGATTAAGATCCTATGCACATCTCTATGTCACACCGATGTTACTTTCTCCAAACTAGACAGTGTAAGTTTTACACTTAATTATCAACGAACTCATGCATGATCTATTTTTCAAAACTAGTTTTTTTTTTTTTTTTTTTTTTTTTTTTTTTTTTTTTTTTTCACTAATTAGCATTTTTGAAAATTATAGGGACCGCTTGCAAGGTTTCCTAGGATTCTTGGACACGAAGCAGTCGGGTAAAATCTTCTTTATGTACTTGTTTTACTTTCGTTTTTGTTTTTTCAAGAATTTCCCTAATTACTATATTTTGTTGTATTTTAGTGTGGTAGAGAGCATTGGTGGACATGTGGATGGCTTTCAACGAGGCGACGTCGTTTTGCCAGTGTTTCACCCTCACTGTGAAGAATGTAGAGATTGCAAATCCTCAAAGAGCAACTGGTGCGCAAGATTTGCTGATGACTTTTTATCAAACACGAGGCGATACGGAATGACTTCAAGATTTAAAGACTCAATGGGAGAAGACATTTACCATTTTCTCTTTGTATCGAGTTTTTCTGAATACACGGTCGTCGATATCGCACACCTTGTCAAAATATCTCCTGAAATGCCTGTGGATAAGGCGGCATTACTCAGCTGCGGTGTCTCCACAGGTTTCTTCTATATTTCTTGCGTAGGGTTTGTAATTAGGGGTGAAAGCATTAAAGAACTTTTTTTGGGGGTTAAAACATAAAAAGAAGTAGATATCGAGGATGGGTTTGTTATTAATTACAATAAGTCAAATAATGGACATGGCTTTATGGTGTGTATTGTGTAATAATGTAATGTACACGTGGATCAGGAGTTGGAGCAGCTTGGAAAGTGGCAGACGTTGAAGAAGGCTCCACCATTGCTGTTTTTGGCCTTGGTGCTGTTGGACTTGCGGTATCAAAATATTGTCTCCCACGATTTCACATATTTTATAAACATTGGTAATTATTAAAATGATTTGGTAACAGGTTGCAGAAGGAGCCAGGCTGCGTGGGGCAGGAAAGATCATTGGTGTTGATCTCAATCCTGATAAATTCGAGCTAGGTCAAGTAATGTTGGCCTTTTAAATTCAAAGTCATCACTACTTTTTTGGCTTATTCTGAGTTCACCATGTTAGGTGTGGTTTATATCTTACAAAGCACTAAAAACTAGTTGTTGTAGTTGGTCTAACAAATGATCCATCCGTCCAGGTTTGTATTATATTTTTGTTAACGAAACCAAATCCAAACGTAATAGTTCAGACGTTCTGTTTCTTTATAACTTATATTTAATATTCCCATTGAATACACATATGTTTGCAAACTATATGATATTTAATTTTATAACATGGTATGTAGTGTAGCTGTTTACATCATCCTTCGATTTTAAATACATATATGTTGTCTAGAATAAAATATTACAGTTCATTTAATTATTGTACTAACAATACGATAAAACGAACTATTTTGCATTGAAAAAGCTAAAAATAAAAGATTTCAGCTTAGCTAGCTATCACTTAATATTGAAAGAAAAAACTATATTTATCATGCATAAACTTATGCCTATATCTACATTATTGGATAGGTAAGAAGTTTGGTATAACGGATTTTATCAATCCTGCCTTGTGTGGAGAAAAAAAGATTAGCGAGGTATGTATCTAATATATATATATATTACACCATTTCATAGCTAGTTCGTACTAGATTTTAACATCACAACTATATATACTTTGTCGGAAAATTATGATGAAAAGGTGATCAAAGAAATGACAGGAGTAGGAGTTGACTACAGCTTCGAATGCGTTGGTTTACATTCTTTACTGACCGAAGCATTCAACAGCACCCGCACGGTACGTTTATACACGATGTTTTGGTTTCTGATCAGTCAGTTCAGAATCATTACAATGGTAAGACATGCAAAAGTGATCAAACTAATTAAGTCTCTAAGACTTTCAACAAATCAAAATGAAATTACAGGGTTCAGGAAAGACGGTAGTGTTAGGGATAGAGAAGGATCTAACGCCAATAAGTTTGGGTAGTTTTGATCTTTTTAGAGGCAGACATGTTTGCGGAAGCATGTTTGGTGGTCTTAAACCCAAACTAGATATTCCGATTCTAGTGGAACATTACTTGAAAAAGGTATTTACATTTTTATCATCTATTTTATATGATTACACAACTTTACATGTTATGTTTTTTATGGGAATGACTATTTCGTTTACAATTTTCAGGAGCTTAATCTCGATAGTTTTATCACACATGAATTGAAATTTGAGGAAATCAACAAGGCTTTCGATTTGTTAGTGCAAGGGAAGTCTCTCCGCTGCGTTTTATGGATGGACAAGTAAATAAAGGTATTGTTTAAAGAAGTGATTAATTAGGACTCTTCTGTTTTTTAATTTTATTTTATTAACGACTCAGCGACTCTTCTGTTTTTACAGTATTTTTAACTTTTTTTTTTGCATAAAGTTACAAATATTACGTGTCATTAATTATTAATTATATATAGAGTTCATTAGATGAAAATGCCATGCATGGATAGCATATAGTTACCAATAAGTGATAACATATTGACACTAGTCATGAAACACACCTAAGCAATTGTATAATTTACCAAAAAATAACAATTGTAATTATTATTGTTATCAACAAAATCAACAGCTAAGGCTTTTATATGTCCTGGGTGTGTTTCCCAATTGTAACGCTAACAAAAGCTGTAAGTTCCCAAAAAATTTCTCTTATGTTGAAAATATTTAAAGTCATCACAAATTGTATGAATCATATATGTTTGACCAACAATATTTATCTAAAAAGGAAATTAAAGATTACATTCCAAAACTAATTAAAGTTACCCATAAATCACGTTGAAGAAAAATTGGGTCTTTGAGCGAGAACATACTTCCAAATCGTGTCCATATCAAGCCCTTTCATTTTTATTTTATATACACATACAACCATTGAATCATCATTTCATCAGCCGTTACAAAAAGAACACAGAGAAGAAAGAATCATGAGATCCGTTACTTTGCTTCTGCTTTCTTGTATTCTCATGTCTTTCATTTTTAGCCATGTTAAAGGTAAAATATCTAATCTTTAAAATACATGTTTTCATGAGAAAAAAGGTCTAGATCTCATCTTCAAACTTTAAACTTCAACTTTAAAACTAGTTTGCATATTGAATAACTACAATCTTCTTCTGTTTGAAGTATTAACAATTCTTGTGGTTTGGTATATACAACAGAAGTGGAAGCTGGATTGAGTCCCATGGCGGCTAGCCTACGTGTCCGGAAGGATATATTTTTGGGAAAATGCGGCAAAGACGGAAACAAGACATGCGTGAACGACTTTGTTAAGAAAGGAGGTGCAGCCGATAAGCCTATTAGTTGCGAGTGTGATGACTTTGGCTTCGAACATTTATGCAGATGTAATTTTGCTTGATGTGTAATCTCTCTTCGTTCATAGTCTTTGTTATATCTCTAAAGAAAGAAAAATTACAATAAATAAAAAATATAACCCAAGAAATTAGAGTTTTATTGTGCGGTGTGTGATAATCTTGAAGGGTCTTGTACTCTTTAACATTTGTACATGAAGCCAACAAGATATGATAATGAGACACACTTGTCTGTGTCTCTTTCTTTTTGAGTGTCCACGCAGACTAATTGATAGAGACAAGTGTGTTTAGTATCTTTGGTGTCTTACAACCTTATTTCCACAAAATTATGGAACAAACAGAGAGAGAAACAGAGCAATGGAACTGATTTTGTCTCTTTTAACCATTTTCCTGCTTCTTGCATTGTCTGGGAGATGCATATGCTGTGGTAGGAGCGATTTCCCCGAGGGTTTCGTTTTCGGAGCCGCCACTTCTGCTTATCAGGTTTGTCCGAGTTCGGTTTTTACAACTTCTAGGATTCTTCCATTTATACTCCCATTTTTTGGATCATCTGAAGAAGAAGAAGTGTTTGGTAATGGTTTGTGAAAGTGGGAAGGAGCTTTTGATGAAGATGGGAGAAAGCCTAGCGTTTGGGATACATTCCTTCACTCTCGTAATTTAGAAGCTTTTTTCATTTATTTCAATATTTTGTGGTATGATTACTAGTGTTTGGATTCTATTTCATTCTACAAAGTATATTGTCTTTAATTGACAGGTAACCTTAGTAATGGAGACATAGCATGTGATGGGTACCATAAGTACAAGGTTAATTTATTCACCAAGCAAACTCTTAAAGAGTTTGATTACATCAACATTGGCTTTGTTATGACATCAGAGATTTTGCTTTTGCATATGCAGGAGGATGTGCAGTTTATGGTGGAAACTGGCTTAGATGCCTTCAGATTCTCCATTTCTTGGTCTAGGCTTATACCGAGTAAGTCTTCTTAAAGAGTCTTACTGTTTATGCCAGATTCTCACTTGATGAGCTCTTATCTCATTTAGATGGAAGAGGTCCTGTTAACCCAAAGGGTTTACAATTCTATAAGAACTTCATTCAAGAACTTGTAAGCCATGGTGAGACCTGTTTCATATCCTAACCAAATCTTGAATACCAAATTAATTTTGATTTGTTGAGTTTGTACTTAAGTTCACTTACAACAGGAATTGAACCACATGTTACACTGTTCCACTACGACCATCCTCAAGTTATTGAGGATGACTATGGAGGGTGGATCAACCGCAGAATCATGTAGGCTAAATAGCCACATTTTACATATCTTGTAGTGTAGAAAAGCAAATGGTTGATATAATCTTGTCATTGCAGCGAAGACTTTACTGCTTATGCAGATGTTTGCTTTAGAGAGTTTGGTCATCATGTCAAATTCTGGACCACGATCAACGAGGCTAATGTATACACAATTGGAGGTTACAACGATGGGATTACACCGCCTGGTCGTTGCTCCTCACCGGGAAGAAACTGCTCATGGGGAAACTCTTCAACCGAACCATATATCGTAGGCCATAACTTATTGCTTGCGCACTCCTCTGTTTCAAGACTATATAAGCAAAAGTATAAGGTATATGTGCTTATACATGTGTATATATTTTACAAAACCATCTCTTATATGTGTGAGTATGAGCTACAAATTGTATATAATGTGCAGGATAAGCAAGGTGGTTCTGTAGGCTTTAGCTTATTTGCACTAGGGTTTACACCGTTTACAAGCTCCAAGGATGATGACACTGCTACTCAAAGAGCCAAAGATTTCTACCTCGGTTGGTGAGTCAGGCAGAAACAGTTTCCATAAGACTTTTTGAATTGCAAAAACGTATCTAAGGTTTTAAGCTGAAAACAGAACACTCTGCTCTTTAAAAATCAGGATGCTTGGGCCTCTTATATTCGGAGACTATCCCGATGAAATGAAAAGAACTGTTGGATCAAGGCTGCCAGTTTTCTCAAAGGAAGAATCAGAACAAGTTAAAGGCTCATCTGACTTCATAGGAATCATTCACTACCTTGCTGCTTCGGTCACAAACATCAAACTCAAACCTTCTATTTCTGGAAACCCTGATTTCTATTCAGACATGGGCGTATCTATGACATGTAGGAATCATACGCTATCTTTTGAATAACAAAACAATGTCTCTGCTTCTTCTCTTTCTTGATAGTTTGTTTTTGCTAATCATCTCTTCTTTATTTTACTGCTTGGGGAGAGACAGACCTTGGGAATTTTTCAGCTTTTGAGGTAAGAGTTTCAAGGCTACAAAACTAAGATGCAAAACTCCCAATATTCTTTATACAGTTAAGTCTTAAAACACATAAGTGTTTTCAATTCATCTTTCTTAGTTGTTTTGTTTTGTTTGGATAAGTATGCTGTTGCTCCATGGGCTATGGAAAGTGTCCTTGAGTATGTGAAGCAGAGCTATGGCAATCCACCTATCTACATTCTTGAAAATGGTCTCTTTCACCGTTTCTTCTCTAATCTCTCTGATCTCTTTTGTAAGTTTGTTTGTGTATAAGTCTGCTTAATTTTCTTGCCACTTCAAACGAATAGGTACACCACTGAAGCAAGATTTGCAGCTGCAACAGAAAGACACACCAAGGATTGAGTATTTACATGCTTACATCGATGCTGTTCTCAAATCCATTAGGTACGTAAAGTTTCATATTGTACCATTTTCTTCTATTCTCTTGTTGATGTACTAAAGAAACAGATATTACTTTGTGTAGGAATGGATCAGACACGAGAGGTTACTTTGTATGGTCATTTATGGATTTATACGAATTAGTGAAGGGTTATGAGTTTAGTTTTGGATTGTACTCTGTCAATTTCAGTGATCCTCATCGCAAAAGATCTGCCAAACTCTCTGCTCATTGGTACTCTGCTTTTCTCAAGGGCAACACCACCTTTCTTGGTTCTCAAGGCATTTTGCAATTGCAGCGCAACTTCTCTTCTTCAGCTTCTTGATAGTAATGTTGCGTTTATACATTCTGATAAATCTGGTTTGTTCGGTAACGTTATAACATCTGGCCTCTCTGTTTTTTGAACTGCTTGCCATTTTAATGTCCATAACCCGAATTTTATTTTTATCAAAACGGCATGCTTTTTCTTATGCTCATATAATAGGGGGATTTTTAAAAAGATACACATAAAATAACTCAAAATATCAAACATAATACATATATGGAGTGTTTGAAGTAAATGAAAAAAAGTTAGTAATGGATTGGTACACGTACGTAAAACTCCTCACCAGATAAACATTATACCAAATAATTAAGACTTTGGATTTTTCCATCCAAGCAAGTCGGCTAGAGAGAAAGGTTAGTGGGGAAGCACGTACATGTGATCTTGTGTAACAATACCAAAGTCTCACCAATACAACTTTTGATCTTTAGGCCACTATTAGGACAAGATCGTGTTTACCACACCTTCTAATCTTTCCGACACAATCTCTCATCTAACATTCCCTTAAGTACTTGCTCATCTTTTCTCTTTTCTTAGTATCCCTACTCAAACCTTAAACCCACCGGACCATGACTCTTTTCACCATTTCGTGCCTCGTCGTGGCACTATTCTTATGTCAGTCCTTGGTTCATGCCTTAAATAACGGTTACTATGGGTATACTCCGACGGTTGCCAACTACCTCCCTGAGAAGCCTCAGAACGTCATGAATCCGGTGGACGCGTGTTGGCGACTCAAGTCTGACTGGGCTGCCAATCGCAAGGACCTAGCGGATTGCGTGGTAGGGTTTGGTTCATCTAACGTGGGAGGCAAGAAAGGTAATATATATGTTGTCACAAACTCTTACGACAATGCGCAGAACCCTCAACCAGGTTCTTTGCGGTACGGCGTGATCCAAGACAAGCCGTTATGGATCACTTTCGCTAAGGATATGGTCATAACCCTAGAAAACGAGCTCATGGTCAATAGCTATAAAACCATAGATGGGAGAGGGGCAAAAGTGGAAATTGCTTACGGACCTTGCATCACGATACAAGACGTGACAAACGTAATCGTGCATGGGATCAGCATCCACGACTGTAAACCGGGGAAGTACGGAATGGTGAGGAGCAGCACGACGCATGTCGGTCATCGTAAGGGATCGGACGGTGATGCTATCGCCATTTTCAGCTCTTCGAATATTTGGATCGATCATTGTTACCTAGCGAGATGCACGGACGGGCTCATCGATGTGATCCATGCTTCCACAGGAATCACCATTTCCAACAACTATTTCACTCAGCATGACAAAGTCAGTTTAAAAATTTTGATAGTCCATCATTAATATTAGTTAGTTAATGTCTTGAGCGATTAATATGATCACATTTATCATAGTTTGATATTGGTTGTTATATATGTATAGGTGATGTTGCTTGGACACAACGATGATTTTGTGAAAGATGTGAACATGAAAGTGACCGTGGCATTCAATCATTTTGGACCAGGACTTGTGGAGAGGATGCCAAGGTAATTAGTTTTTTTTTTTTTTTTTTTTCTCATTTAGAAACTAAAACAACAAGTATATATTAAGGATTTAGACTTTTGTAATAATGTAAAAAAAGTGTGGTGGGTGCAGGGTAAGACGAGGGTACGCTCATGTGGCAAACAATAGATACGATAAATGGATAATGTATGCAATTGGTGGTAGCGCCGATCCAACCATTTTCAGTGAAGGCAACTATTTCATTGCTTCTGATAAATCTAACAGCAAAGAGGTATTTTAATTTCACCCCCCTAACTCAATATTGTAATTAGCATATATTTCATCTAAAGATCATTAGCATATATTAAGATACTATAAACTATACCTACGATTAAAATAAATAGGTGACAAAGAGAGAAGTAAAAGGAGGGTGGAACAATTGGAGATGGAGAACTTCAAAAGACGTTTTCAAGAATGGAGCTTACTTCGTACCTTCTGGTTATGGCAGCATCGGGCTGCCGTACAGTTCTGCTCAGCAATTCACAGTCGCACCGGGAAACTTGGTTCCTTCTTTAACCGCAGATGCTGGTCCTCTAAACTGCAACCGCAACCGTCCTTGTTAATTGTTAATACAGTATATATATATACTCTTTTCACGAGAGGTATCTCTAATTTCTGGTAGCAAGTTACTTTTTTTTTTTTCTAGTTTATATCGATTTATGATTTTGTATGAATTTGCTACACAAGCACTGGTTGTGAAAGATGAGACACGTCAAGAGTTTGTAAGAAAAAAGTGCATTTTTATTTATTTCGTGTATACATAAATAATTACATATAAATATGAGGTTTTTTTCTTAATTTTCTTTTGGCATATACATTAATACATATAATATGCGATATGCTTTTTTAATCCAATATAACATACTTTATTTGTCATTGCAAGAAAGGGAAAATCTCATATCTATATAATTCCTTTATCTTGTAACTTTATTTTATGAAAGTCAATAGTAATTCGTAACGCTTTTCGTTCTTGCTCGTTTATTTATATAATCTTTTTTTTTAGAAGCTTGATTGCTAATGGGATATATATGGTTCTGGTCATAAAAGTCCCTTATACTGATATCGATGGACTTGGACTTTTGTTGATTATATGTTTTATGAAGTATGGACTATTGACTTCACAATCATGAAGACTTTGAAAGGGGTTTGGGCTAAATCTAAATGCTAGCTCATTTTCCAACCTATTTTTGATGTTTCTAATTTTCTAGGTAATATAGCAAGTCTTTATACAAATATTAGAGATTTTCTTACAAATTAAAAATATTATTTTATCATTATTGAATTTATGAGTTCTAACTTATGAATTCTAACCTATAATTATGTTCAGATTCAAGCTGGTTCCAAATTCTCCATGATGATTACTTTTTAATTCCGCCTAAATTTCTCAATTTTTTTTTGTAGTTCCTGTATTCAATTAATGTCTTCAACTGAAATGATGAAATACGAAACTTATTGAAATTTGAAAGTGATACTCTTTTCAGTTTTCATAATATGAATACATATAGTTAGCTCTAAAGATCGGCATTTATTTCTTTCTTGTTTTTTTTGTCAACAAGATGGGCGCTTATAATGGATCTATATGAAGTATTGAACGAATTTAATTTTGTTCTTTACATTATCTCATGTTTATTTTTTTCAGCATTAGATCTTTTTTTTTTTTTTTTTTTAGATCTTTAATACAAACTTGAATGACTAAGTCTGATATCCGAAGATGCACGTTAACTTATCACATCCTAGCTGGCGTATAAGCTAGAGAATCGAACACACAATATACACATTTGTTTGTGTGTATATATGGTGTAATTGGTCTATGAGCAAGTACCAAGTGTACCTTATTGGTTAATGCAGCTGCAACTGCACTGGCAAAAAAACTTTTTAATTTAGCTTGATTTTCTCTGTTGTGTGAAACATTTTATATTCTCTGTGAGTTTGTTTTTCTTTTCACTTAGGATAACTAGTATATAGTATTAAAATATTTTAAAAGTTAGCGGTAATGAACAAAACGATTTAATGCAGTCCTGTCCATGACCTTCGAAGTCTTGAACCATGTATATGAATGACACAACATTGGTTTTTGACTAGTTATGCACAACTATATTGGTTTTGATTTACTGTCAAAACATCATGGCTTGTCAATGGGCTATTTGATGGATTTTTGGGAAGAGGGATCCATCCTAAACACGCAGTTAGAATGCCATTAGTTCAAGTTCGTGTATGCCATTAGTTAGAATGTTGCATTCAAACCACGCAGATTAATTCGCAAGAAAAAAATAAATCTTTTAGTCTTCATTGGCGATGAAATGATCTTTGAGACGTATTTTCCAAAGCGTGGTCATTGATCAAATCATTTTTTTTCATTCTATATATTAAATAAAGTTTGATCAACTCGAGAGAGGCTACTTCATTTGGTCACTAGTTAGACTGACTCGAAACAAGATTGTTGACGGGTTGATTTTTCTATCAAGTAACAAAATTTGGAACTATGTTTAAATGTTATCTTCTGTATTTTAGTTGTATCGTATATATCAAAGAGACTCAATGAATTGGTTTTCACTCAAGTCAACTTCCATTTTCTTTTTCCCTTAAAGTCGGTACGCCATTATTGTGTAAGATAGCGAAACATGCAATAAACTAAACTACAAGAGACTCGTAACATTATTGTATAGCAGCAAAAGAAGACTTAAGAACCTTTGATGTTGACGAGATAATACTATGGGTGATGGGTCGTATGAACAAGTTTTAGTATTAGAATTAACTTCGTATAATGTTTGACTTTGTAATGTTTCCTTTGACTAGTACATATTGTGTTGAACATATATATACAGACAACTAATCTCTCCATCACACACACATACATACATACATACATACAAATTACCAAATAATGTGGATTAGTCCATATTTTATAGTGTCTTGACATATTAAAATAATACACATTATCTTGACATATCATAATAATAAAGACTATCTTGACATTACAACCATAGATATCTACAAAAACATTTTCTAGTTAAACGCTTTTGGATATAGCTGCAGAGAATTGCTGGAAAAAAGAAACGCTTTTGGATGGATATCTCCATCTCCTCTATTTGACAATTAGGGGAAGATTTCGTATTCCTTACTCTTATATTTAAGCAAGCTGTGAATTATGATGTCTATTTCATTCAATCTTTGTCTTTTACTTTGATTGATAATTTACGATATATGAGTAGTCAATTCTTTAGATAATTATTGAATTTCTCCTTAAGCAATGAGAACTAACATTAGAGTGATTTGGTGGTGGCTCCTTATTCAACTTGTAATTAGTGGTGACAATTTAGTTTGAAAGTGAGAGTTTAGCAACATTAAAGTACGTACTGAAAATATAAGATTTAGTATTTAAATGATGATATTCATAATTTCTCAATATCTAGGGTCTGATTAATATTGCTTAATTAATTATTATGTTTCTTATGCAATTTTCATGCCTTGATTCGTTGTATTAACTAATTTGGTTCCTTTTCTAAAACCATAAATGCATAATCAAACCTAAAAACAATACTCTTATAATATTTTGGTAAGTGACACATAATCATTGTGGTACACTTCTATACGTAATTATTTACTCGTAG